CACCATGCTTAGCTATTAACCCATCAGTGAATGATTCTGCTGATGACTATCAGGCCCCCATGATCCACTCACCTTTCAAAAGCTCCACTGGGAGTGCATGAGGCTTTGGGAGGACATCTAGATATAAACCGTTACAATTAGCAAGACCTTTTCTCAAAATTTAAAAGTAAAAAGGGGCGGGATGTAGCTCAATGGGAAGGCCCTGGGTTCAATTTCTAGTACCACAAGAAAAATGAAAGACATGTCAAAGGGACACAGAAGCCCAGCTTGAAGGGAGTCCTCTCCTCAACACAGGTGAATGGATGGAGCATGCAGATCTTGGCACAGGACACAGGGTCCAGTTTCCAGAGGAGGGAGAGATGGAGCAAGCCTGGAGTTGTCTGTTGTTTCATTGTATTCCCTGTCCCCTCTCTTTCTCACTAGCAAAGGCCCTTGCACACCTGGACACAGTGAGATGGTGATTTGTGGCAATAAGAGGCCCCCATCTCCTTGGAGCTAGCACTCCAAGAGGCTGAAGCAAGAAGATCACAAGTTCCAGCCCAGTCTCAGAGAGACCCTGAGGTCTCTTTTAAAAGGGCGGAGGATGTAGCTCAGTGCAAGGACCCTGGTTCAACCACCACGACCATAAAAGAAGGGAGGACCTCCCATTTTTGTGTGGAGTGGCAAGCAGATGGACCTGAGCAGCCACTAACAAGAATGTCAGTGAGGGAGAGAGTAGTCCAAACGGAAACCGTGACATAATGCTCTTCCTGCAGTGTGAAGGATGAATTAGAAAGGACAGTAGTAGGCCCAGGAGGGCAGTAAGGGGCCTGCAATGAAAATGCATGAGATGATAGAGGCGTGCACTGCAGAGGCAGCAGTGAGGCTGCAGAGAAGCAGATGGATCTGAGAAATACTATATTTAGAGTATAAAATGGGTAGGACTTGCTAACTGATTAGATAGGGCAATAAGGGTGGTGAATTGAAGGAATCGCAGGCTTCTAGCTTGGGGCATCTGGTTGAATGGTGGATCTATTTACTGAGAATAGAAATACAAGAGGGGCTGGATGTGTAGCTCCATGGTACATCATTTTTTAGCGTGCCTGGACCCTGGATTCCACCCCAGTAGCACAAAGTAAGAAAAAGAAGTGAAAAAGAGAATATATTTGACCCCAAAAGGAGAAAGTCAGTAATGGGTTCTAGGTGTGTCAAGTATTTGTATGTATGATCCAGGTGGAGGCATTAATCCAGTAGGCAGTTCAGTGGTTGGTTTTGAAGCTCCAAGACTAAAGATAAAGATTTAGGAGCCATTTGCCTATAAATGGTGCTTAAAGCCATAGCTGTGGTAGAATTTCCAAGAATGGAGGTATGAATTGAGGAAGAGAAAGACTTGCTGGTTATCAGTGCCTAATATTGCCCAAAAATACAGTAAGAAAATGGCCCAAAAGTATCCATTTGATTTGGCAATTAGGAGGTCACTACATTTGATACATTTTGTTTACTCAAAAATATATTGGAGGGGGTGCTGGGAATTTAGCTCAGTGGCATAGCGCCTGCCTGGCAAGCACGAGGTTGTGAGTTCAATCCCTGGTACCAGAAACAAACAAACAAATATATATATATGAGGGCTGGGGATACAGCTCAGGGGCACAGTGACTTGCTTGGCAAGTGCAAGATACTGAGTTTGATTCCCAGTACCAAAAAAGTAAAGTCCTGATAGAAAAGTTATTGGATATCGACTAAGGATGCTAAGGATAAGTGCTGACCAAAAAGATTAAAAAAATCTCTATTCCCATAGAGCTGAAATTCTAGTTCAGTGGAGAAAAAGAAAAAAAATTTTTAAACAAATTATACCAAATATTAAAAAGTGGTAAGTGCTCTGGAGAAAATAAAAATAGGAAAAAGATACAGGCCTGGAAAGATTCAGATAAGTGGAGAGAGGGAGGCAGTTGCTAGACTGCAAAGAGTAGAGCATTGAGTGAGAAGTAAGGAGGTAGGCTCACCCTGAGGCAGCTGTTCCAAGAAGCACAGATGAAAGGGGAAGGAGATGTCCTCCCACAGGTGAATGGATAAACTGTGGTGTAGCCATGAAATGGATTACTACTCAGCAAGAAGAACAGCCAAACTCTGAATGAACACAACACGGATAAATTTCAAAGGCATGCAGCTGAGTGAACGAAGCCAGTCTCAAAAGGTTCTGCTTCCATTTCTATGACATTCTCACAAGAAAAACTACAGGAAAGGAAAACAGATCAGGAGTTTTCTGGGGTGGAAGTAGGGAAGGCCTTGACTACAAAGGAGCATGTTGGGGGCCCGTATTTGAGAATTTGGGGGCCCACAGAACAATTCTGTATCCTCCTTGTGGTGATCTCACAAATCTATACAAGTATTCAAACTCCTAGAACTGTGGGCACAAACAAGGGGTCGTGTGTTAATTTGGGGATGAGACAACGCGTAGTATCTTAAGGACAAAATTCGGATTGATGGAAGGAGCTGCTTTTGAGATGGGAGGAACTTGAGTTTATTCATGTGCTCAGGGGGGAAGGCAGGTCTCTTGAGAAAGGTGCCCAAAAAATTCAAAGGCGTGAGACCCAAAACACCTCTGGGAAGGAAAGACTTTTGTGAAAAGAAGCAAGATTAAGGCTCTGGCTGGAGATGATGTGCATACCTATAATCCCAGCTGTTCAAAACACTGAAGCAGGAGCATGGCAAGTTGGAGTCCCACCTGGATAACTTTGCCTCAAAATAAAAATAAAAAAGGGTTGAGCATATAGCTCAATGCCCCATGAATTTAATCCCCAGTACTGCCAAAAGAAAAAAAAAGGTTGAGGTCCTGTATAATGTCTGGTTTCTCCATGGACGAGGAGGGCATGTCAGCCGTAGAGTGGAGGAAATGGGTGTAGAGGAAGAGTGCAGTAAGGCTTGGCAAAGCCGCTGTGAGGAATGGGAAAGGGTGCTTTGCAGGCCTGCTGTGTAGTCTGAGGGGCAGCCAAGGTCAGAGGCCGTGAAGCTTCCACTGTCCCCATCAGCCTCTACAGATTCAGCAGCAGCAGTGTGGAGCACAGAGGGGGTTTGAGCGGGTGGGGATCAGCCACAGGACAGGCTCCACTCCTGAAAGCTATCTACAAGGGAATAGCAGACAAGTAGTGTCAGTTCTATAGAGAGATGATATATTAATTTTGAGCATTTTGAGAGTAGGAGCAAAAAAGAAAAAAAAAGAGCTGCATGAATGAGAAAGGAACATGAGGCCAATGGCTTGCTCATAGCCTAGAGATAAAGGATCGGGCAGGTGACCAGAGGGGTCAATGTTCTTGAAAGGATTTGACAAGTACAAATTCAGAGTGAAGTAGCTGGATAGATGAGGACTCTGGTCAAAAGAGTCCGATATGTAAGATTGCAGAAGTGGGCATGAGGAGAGCTAGTAAGTACAGTGAGGGAGTCAAATGATAGAATACTTTCAACTTGTGACAAATTTCCTCCTCCTTCTGGGCTCTTGTCCTCAAGATGACAGAGAATGAAGTCAACAGATACTTCGCACTAAGGCGCATAAGTTTGGCGTCTACACACATACAGACTTTGGCAGGCGGTGTTGGGCGCGTGAAAATGAAACTGTGGTTGCCTCTTTTGTTGACCTCTGACATCAGAAAGACAGACTTCACTCACACTCCAACTTCTGGGAGCTTGTTTCAGTTTACTCAGGCTCCTGTGCTTAACTGCCTACTGTCCCTCTAGCTCCTGGTCTCAAACATACTACTAATTAATAGCAACCCTAGCTCGTACGTATTGATCCTGCTATATGGCTGACAGGCTAAATGCTTTACATTGAATTTTCGCAACAGTCCTATGAAGTAGACATTATTCCTATTTTCTTACTAAGGAAACTGAGGTTCAAGAAGATTATGTAAGTCGCCTAGGGTCACATGGCTAGTAAGGGGGAAGCCAGGACTAGAACTTGACCTGTCCAACTCCAAGGTTACGCTCTTATTACCGTTACTCAGTGCCTCTCCCACATGGCAGATCCTGGTTCCACTGCCACAGAATGCTATAGACATTTCACAATCAGCCAAGCTACTGTATGTGCACAGCCTAAAGTAAACCAAACGCCACTCCTGCAAGCCAGCTGTAAGAGGATCTCCCCCTCGTAGTGGGCAAATAGTGTTGATTTCATAGATGGGATATTGAAAAGTCATTCTGTCCGATCATAGAATTCCTTTTCTAATGGAAAAAAGTTACTCTCAGACCTGGAACGTTCTGATGATAATGGGATTCAGTCAGGATAGTTTTGGGGTAGGAGTGAGGTCCATGGACCAGCTGAAAGTGGCTCAATAGGTGAGGATCGCTGAAGTTGAAGACCAGCTGCTGGGGAGGTGTGGGTCATCTGAAACATTCCCTAAGAGGATAATGAGGCTGAGCAAGAGGGAGCCACCAGGTGTCACAGCCTTCAGTCCATGTGGAAGAGCGGCCAGGAGGTCAGTAGATGCACCAGGACAAAGTGTGAATGAGTGACATGAGCCCCAGTTGGGTGCGTCTGGTATGTGAGTGAAGGAGGCAAGGTCTGGGAGCAGCAACAGGAGCTAGAAAAAAGCCACCATTGCTCTGCTTCCCACCCACCAACACCTGTGCTGTGAGGCTAGGCAGCCCCCAGCTACTGTAGTAACTTTCCAGTGGAGGGAGTAAAGACAAAGAGGCAGGAGGGCACTAAAATTGGTTGAGGGCATAGGAGTATTATTGTGCGCGGAGGGCGTCGGCTGGAATGGAGGTAAGTACAGAATCAAATCTTCGGAATGCCTGCTTCCTTCTTAGCAAAATAAACCACACATATGTGAATAGGGCAGCATGGTTTTATTGCATATTGATATTCATTCTAAGCCGATGGGCCAAGAAGAACACTGTGACAGCCATTCTTTGTCATTTTATCTTAGCCGAGAGCATAGCATCCTGAGAGTGGACTTGAGACTGGGTACTAGGACGTTTATTTCCTGGTATTTAAGTCATTCCATCCACCTTCTATTTCCTGCCAGGCTCAGAGCCCCTATCTTCCCCACCGTGGAGGTGTAGATATCCATTTCTCAGGAGCAGTAGACTGTTTCCGGCAGATCGTGAAGGCTCAAGGGGTCCTAGGGCTCTGGAGTGGATTGACAGCCAACTTATTGAAGGTGAGAGGGGTGGTCAGTCTATTGCTTTTCTGTGCCCCCATGGAAACACCCATTAGCACTGAGGATAGCACAAGGACATTGATGCAGACTGGTTGTCAGCCCCAAAGAGTGGGGAGACCCTATGAAGTTGTGGGACTTATTATACCCCATACTATAGGAGCTAAGCCTTTAAGCTGGAGGTTCCTAACGTGGAATTCCTGGACCCCTAAGGAGATCTGACCCGATCAAAAACTGTCTGACTGTGTATGTGTTTGTGTGTGTGTGTGTGTGTGTGTGTGTGTGTGTATGCATATACATGTGCATCCTATTCCCAAAGAATTCCATGACCAAAGGGTGGAAAGTGAAGAACTCCTGGTGAGTCTTTCGCTAGCTGTCATGTCAATGATACCAGTCAAAACCAACATAGATTGACAGGCAGTGTTGGATCGCCCATGCACACATCAGTCCAGGCCCACCATTTGCCCAGCCCATGCCTTCAGTCTCTCCGCCGTCCCTCTCATTCTGCCCACACTGTACCATCCTTCCGCTGTTATCTCAGTATATCCTGACCCACCTTGATTGCGGACATGTTGACATTTAAAATAACATTTCTTTTCTGTTTAACAGATAGTACCATATTTTGGAGTTATGTTCAGCACCTTTGAGTTCTGCAAGAGAATATGTCTTTACCAAAATGGTTACATTGTGTCACCTCTAAGCTACAAGTTGACCCCAGGGGTAGACCAGAGCTTGAAGCCCCAGGAATTAAGGGAATTAAAGAAATTCTTCAGAACTGGAAAACTGAAGTCTAAAAAACCAACTTTGTAAAACCGAACAGAACTAGAAATACACTGGCTGAAGGCATGCTGCAATCACAGATGAATGTAACCTCACAGTGGTGTGTGGAGGAATAGTGAGAGCGTACACCCATCTGCCATGCTTGGAAATGAGATGCTTTGGCCCTGCACCACCTCAGAGCCCCACACTGATGTCCCCATGAACATCTGCACCACAAGAGGATTTCCTAGCACTACTACATCACAGTGGTAGTCCCACCAGATTTTGTGTGTGTGTGCTACTGTGGATGGAGCCCCAGGCCTTTGCACTGAGCTGCATCCTCAGCTGTTTTTGATTTTTGTTTTGAGAATGGATTTCACCAAGTCACTAAGTTGCCCAGGCTGGACTTGAACCTCTGGTCCTCCTGCCACAGCCTCCCAGAGTGCTGGGATGATGGGCATGCCCACCACTTCCAGCTCCCTCCAGATTTTATAAGCAAAGTCTAGCAATAATAAGATGTGCAATTTACCCTCAGAAGAGAAACATGACACTGACACAAGGGCATTTCCAAAGCAACATGTAGTTGAAGTGGCCAACTTCAACTTGAGACCATGTCACCAGCTCAGCCACAGGCACAGTCACTCGCAGTCAATGCAAGGCATATACAGTCTAGTTTCATTCAATTTGACCTGTGGCTTCCCCGTATGTGATTCTTGAGCTCATAACCTCTGCTCACTTCTGAGGGCCCATGCCACAGTGTAGATTGGGCCTTATCAGAAACCAGATCAAAACAGTAGCTTTAAAGTTGATCGCTTCTGAATGAGAGGGCCCAGGGCATGCTCTGCCTTCTCCCTCTGGCCAGACCGTCATCTCCATGGAGGAGCCCTGGGTAATCATGACTAGGGAGGAATAAGAAAACAGCCTGTTGCTAGACACAGATGCAAGTCTCTCAGTCCTTCTTTTCCATCCTGGCCTTCCTTCCAACCGTCACACCTCAGCGACAGGAGTCACTGGTGAGGAGGCAATATGCTATTTTTGACAACTCTTAGGCTGTAACTACTTGTTAGATCCTTCTTGCTTATCTCTGTCTTCCTGAGAAACCACTTTGAAGATACCACCATGTATTACAGCAGCCATTGATATTTTCCTACTGATCTATCCATAACTCTGTAATGTTTGTATTGTTCCTATCCTAGTTCATAAATGGATGCATGTTTATTATTATGTGTTTCCTACAGCAACCATTGAGAATAGTCAATGATTATTCAATAGGTCACTCATGTATAGCTCTATTTATTTTCTTTAGAAGCCACTTTGAAGATACCAAAGTATAGTACAACAACTATTGATAATCTCCTACCTCTTTTATCTGTAACTCACTATTATTTGTCTATTTATTTTCCTGAGAAACTATCTTGTAAAACAATAACCATTGATAATTTCCTACCACTTTGTCTGTAATTTGGTAAGCCCCCCTATTATTATGTTATCCTTCTTTTACTCTTTAAAATTAAAAAAATAAATAAAGTTGATAGCTTCTTTCAGTAGAAGCAACATTCTTACTGAAATATGAACCATCAGAGGCTTAGACGCTTGTTTCAGGAAGGCAGTGTTTACTGTGCTTGCTTAACTCTTCCCCCACAGACCCTCTTCCAGTTGAAGTCGTGTGCAGGTCACATGGCCTGAATTCTCAGCCTTTTTAACTTGCTTTGCAAGCCTACCCTGAAAATAAATTAGTCATCTTGAATTTTTCTCACAAGATGTTCCAGTTGCTAGAATGGATCAAATGAAATGTTTGACATAGATAGCCCCCCAAAATATAAAGAATGAAATCACTTTAACCTAATCACCTGTAGTGAGTTTTTAAAAAATCAAATTTCAAAACTGTTCTGCCTTAGAGATTCCATGTAAAATTTGTGACCGTACATTTCAAATAACATCTATATACATAAAATGCATTCATGTCTAGCATTAAGTTTTTCATTCATACATATATACCCTCTCCCTCTCCTGCATTCATATATATACACTCAGGTTTTCCGTATGTTGAAAGTATTTTTCCTATTAAATTTATTTTCCAAAGAAAAAACATTGTGGTGGTCACTTATTACTAATCAGAATTTTAAAACTATGGTTAAATACCTACCTGACCAAAATCTTTAAACTCTCAGAATTTGTCTTATTTAAGTGCACCCAAAAAACACATTTTTCAACTTCTGTGGTAAACTGAGTTTTACTAGGAAAGGCATTTAACACACACACATAAAAATCTCATTTATAGCCCAGTCTGAGTTTGAAGGGTGGCAAATTCTTAACCCTGAGGGAATGAATAGTTCATGTTTGTTACTTTTTTAATTTCCCTTGACACAAACAACTTTGCAGAAGGTTCTGAAAGCTGCAAAAATAGTTTGTGCACAAAATCTAAAATCCCAAACCCAGGTTATATACGTTGTAGTATGTCCTCTGTGTACAGTATTGTTCTGTATGAAATAGATAGCTGAGCTGGATTTCGTGTCACACACCTGTAATCCCAGCACTCGGGAGGCAGAGGCAGGAGGATCACCATGAATTTGAGGCCAGCCTAGGCTACATAGTGAGTTCAAGGCTAGCCAGGACTACATAGTGAGACCCTGTCTCAATAAAACTAAAAAATGAAATAGCTAAACTCTTGCGACTTGTCACAGGAATGTTTTCTGAGCTCCGGCTTTGATTTTTTTTTGCAATAAATTAAAAAGAGGGAAAGAATAGACCTCATTTTTCTGTCACAAAACTGTAAAACTCTAGTTCTGTTCCTAACTTGAACTTCCAGCCACTTTTATTTTCTTGGAGGTATGTGGGAGTATTCTGCCTTCCCACTTTATGGCCACGATTGTGCACCACACAGGACTCAGTACTTCAGTGAGCTTATAAAGTATGGTGCAATATTGACCCATGGACTTAAGGTAAAATGACTGTATTTGCAATGCAAACATAAGCAAAGGCATGACATGTAGTATCAACTGTTGCCAAGACTGTGAAGGAGCTCAGTACTGTATATACTTACTGAATAAATAACTAAAGGGACCGACACGGGAGGAGCTGTAGTAATAAGCCGGGGCTCTTGTAGGTACTGAGCCTTGAAGTTTTGAAGGAGGTAAGGGATATTAATTGGTCAAGAATAGGCAAGACAGCATTGAAGGATGAAGACAGAGCAAAAGCAGTGTCACAGAGATGGAAGTAAGTGAAGGGTGCTTGGGCCTGAGTGGGAGGGCTAGGTTTATGCCTTTATTTAGCACCTGCGGGGCACTGTGGACAGGGGTATGAAGTGCACATGAGGTCCTGGCCCTCATGGAGCTTCCTTCCTAACATGAGTGGGTGGGAGCCAATAAGCTGATCAGTTAGGTAATCATGCATTGTAATGCTATGAGGGAAACAAACAGAGTGCTTTACTAGAGCTTTAGGTGAGAGAGAGGGAAGGCCACTCTGAGAGGTGACATCGGACATGAGCCCTGGAGAACAACTGACCAGCCATGGAAAAATGAGGAAGAAGAGCACTCTGCAAAGGGAAGAACAGGTGCACAAGTGTGGCTGTGCGGAAGAGGCTTGGCGAGCGGGAAGGCGGGAGGTATAGCCACGGTAAGAGAGAGAGCAGTACGCGATCAGATGGGGTGAATAGAGAGCCAGCTCGGGATTTTCCTTTGCACTACTAGGGATTGAACGCAGGGCCTTGCACGCACCAGGCAAGCAATCTACCACTGAGCTACACCCCTTGCTCCTCAGAGCTGGACCTGATATAGCCACGTAGACCAGAACAAGTTCACTTGTATTTGAAACACAGTGGGAAGCATGGAAGAGGTTTTAGCAGAAAAGCAATAAAATATGGTTTTCATTTTTAAAAGGCCAGGGGCCCAGGATATACCTCAGCAGCACAAGCACCTGCCTGGCAAGTGCAAGATCCTGAGTTCGATTCCCAGTACCGAAAAAAAAAAAACCAACAACACCTTTAAAAGGCCGCTCTGGTGGCTGCATAGAAAATGATTCGGAGGGAAACAGGTATGGCAGAAGGAAGACCAGTTAAGAGATGATTATAGGTGCACACCTATAATCCCAGCACTTGGGAGGCTGAAGCAGGAGGATCACTGCTGAGTTCAAGGCCAGCCTGGGCTACATAGTGAGTTCAATGCCAGCCTGAGCTACACAGTGAGACCCTGTCTCAAGACAAAATGAAAGAGGTGATTCCAGAAGTTCAAGCAAGAAATGATGGCTTGGACTAGAAGAGTTTCAATAAAGACAGAAAGGAGTAAAGGACGTCAAATTGTAGACTCAGTACAATTTGCTGAACAATTGAATGTAGGGGGTAAGTGGAAGGAATTAAGTATGGCTCCTATGTTTTTGACTTTTGATTTGAATTAACAAGATAGATAATGTTGCCATTTGCTGATGTGGGAAAGATGAGAGCCAGAATTTTGGTAGATAAGGAATTTAAAGTTCGGTCTTGACAATGTTAAATTCAAAATGGCCAGAAGACCCCCACTTAGACAAGCCTAATAGACATTTGGCTAATGCATAGGCCATCCATGGAATTGTCAAAACCAACTGTGGTCAGCAGAATCATGGCCCTCCCAAAGGTGCCCACGTGCTAATCCCCAGAACCTGCAGCTGTGTTCCCTTAGAGACAAAAGAGATCTTGCAGAGGTGATGACAGGTGCAGATACTGAGATGGAGAGATTGTCCTGGAGTATCTCCGTGATTCCAAGCTCATCACAGGAGTTCTTAAAAGTGCAGGAGGAAAGCAGAAGAGTGGATCTGAGATGCAAGGACAGAAGAAGAGGCAGGAGACATGAAGCATGGAAAGGACGCTGCTTACCATTGCAGAAGCCAGAGGTGTCCCGGAGCCAGGGAATGACGATGGCCTCTAGAAGCTGAGAATGACCCTCAGCTATCAGCCAGTAGGGAAATGAGCACCTCAGTCCTACAATCACAGGAACTGAATTCCGTGAAAAACCTGAGTAAGCGAGGAAATGGATGTTCCCCTGGAGCCTCCAGAAAGAAACCCAGCCCTGCCAACACCTTGATTTTGGCCCACTGAAACTTGTAACCTACAGAACTGTAACATAGTATATGCATATTGTTTAAGCCAGCGTTTGTAGTAATGTGTTACAGCAGCAATAGGAAATGACTATTCCAGAACACCATTAATAATTATGTCAGGATAATAGGGCTAAGCCTGTTGTTCAGGGCAGAGTGATAGTGGAAGATAGAAATTTGGGCATCCTCAGCAAATGGATGGCATTTAAAGTGGAGGGACTGGGCTGGGGAGATAGCTCAGTGGCACAGTGCCTGCCTGGCAAGCCCGAGGTCCTGAGTTCGATTTCCGG